TTCTCGGTCGTTCCTGGGTGGTTTCGTCTGGCCGGCACGGCCTCGTGGCCTGTTTGACCATCAAGTGATGTTGAAAGGAGACAAAGGAGACCTGTTTCTTTGGAGATGGGAATTTTGGGTCTTATAACTACTTTGAGTGTGGAAAAGACCATAATACTTGGATCCCAAACAAGGCTGCTCATCAAAGAGTAATGAATGGTGTTCATTCAAGAGATGTACTTCATAGCGGTGCAGCAGCAGTGCGACTGGGTTGCGCATCAGATGGTACAAACTGTTGTTGCTATTGCCAATGCCAATGCCCAAAAATACCACCGTGTGTTTCTGCGCAATCCGTGCTGATGCCACTGCCCATCCATCAGCTGATGGTACAAACCGTTGTTTCTTTGTGCCATCCGTTTGAAGCCCAGAGCTTCACGGAAGCCAAGTTCAGGCCGCTCCCGATGAAGTCAAGAAGACTATTGGAACGGTCTTCCACCCGAAGCCCCACCGACCCAGGGAACGGCCGTGGATTCGTGGCCCATTCCGCGGATTGTTATATATAAGAGTCATAATCCGAAGAACCTTTGGGTTTTACTGTGGATTTTACGGTAGGTGGAGGCCATCGCTAGTAGGTTGGGGTCAACCATTTGTAAACATGTGGGAACAAGTGCATCGCTACTAGCTAGTAGCTAGAAGCTACTAGTAGCTCCTGGCATTACTACTAGGAACAGGGAGCTACTTGTAACATGCTGGTTTGAAGGCTAGGCATGGGGTGAGCTTCCACCCTCTTCGGCGCACTGAGGACCACAGCTCCCACTTGGCATCCCGCTTGTCCTCGGTGGAGCGTGATGCGAAGGCGCTTTAGTGTGGGGCCCGCGGCCACGGTTTGGATGATTTTGGATGTCTCAGATTTCCATGGTTGTCTGGTTGATCTACGTTTTGCACAGCAAAAGGCACTAGAACCCGCAACTTGGTCAATCACATCAGTCCATAGTCTTCATTTTCTTACCAACCTTGTAAGCTTTGAAGGTCCTTCGAATCAATTGCATCCTTTCTATTTCAGATTCTCAACCGGTCGCGGGGGGAGTGAGTGAGTGAGTGAATTCATCGTCTCAGGCACAGCTCTCCACCCTGCAACCCATGATCCAGGCCAGGTTTCAATGACTACCGCACCATGTTTTTTCTTTTTAACATCAGTTGTTTTTTAAACAAAATGAGACCGTGCTTCTCTTTTTGTTTTCGAACAGTGCGCTCATGGTTTTGTTTTTAGACACCTTTTTCTTTCGACTCGTTCGTGGCTAAACACCACACCCCACCGCGCCCCTCGTGGCTCCGCGGCTGTGAGGAGCAACATGCTGGATGGCAGAGGTTGATGGAACAACAGCGAAGCTTGGACGACGACCAGCGGACCTTGCAGACGAAGCCCGGACGTCCCAGAGGAGAAGAGAAAAGACGACGAGAGTGCTGAAGAGGGCGGCGGAAGAAGAACACACCAACAGAGCTTCCGTGCCGGAAAGGCGCCTCTAAAGACTTGGGAAGAAGGCATTTAGGGGATTGGTTGTTTGGGAGGAGCTGTAAGTAGCTTCCGAGAAGGTACTTGGAGCGCTAGGAAGAGAGGTGCGGAGCGGTGCGGTGCGGTGCGTAGCTGAGATTCAGCACTTCTTTCTTTTCTGATGGACATGGACACGGGCAACCCTGCAAATGCTTGGAGGTCAGAATGAGCAAGTGGACCGAAAGATGTGCCTGCCAATTCCAGACTGTTTAGTTAATTTTGGTGATGATTTTGAAGACATTAGAACGTTTTTCTATGATGCCTAATTGGTGATGGTACAACTGGGCAACTTGGTGCTGGTACATGTTTCTTTGCAAGAGGCATGGTGATGCAACCGTGGAGACACCAAGCCAAAGTCTTGGAAAGACCACGGGGCTCCGAGCCTCTGATCAGTCGGGTCTGAGGTTGCTGGAAACGGAGCAGTCCGCCGAAACAGAGGCCCCCCCGACGCCTTACGCCTTGGCACGCGTCGCGGTTTGGCACGGAGCAGAAAAGCTGGTGGAACGAACTCGAGCTACATCGAACTCTGAAGAGTTTCTTGGAGTTGTGTACCTGTTGCTTGGATTTATAGTACAGTTGGATCATAGTATGAGGATCGTTATTTTGAAAATCTGCCCCAAACTTCTGTGCTGCCGCTTGAGCAGCTTGAGCTGTCGCTTGCCTCAGGCACGAGCGCGGGAGCAAGTGGCGATCATCATACAGGACAAGTGGGAAACAACGTTGGACACCTTCCCGTCCCACAACCAATTAGACTTTATTCCTTTTCTAATCTGTTCTCTATCCTTACTTGTACCTTTTTGGGTCTAGTTTGGGTCCAAATGATTTTTATAGAACATATAACGAGATCCATCCCACAGATCACACCCATAGAACGAATCCCCCATAAGTCCCTGGCTTAAACCGAGACTTTAGACAAGCCCTGGTTTTATTTACCAAAGGCCTTCTAACTAGTGCATTCATCGACCAAACATCTCAGGGGCCACCATTTGCCGCCATGCATTTCGTTCTGCGAAACCGTGAGAACCTGCAGAACATCCCAAAGCTCGCCAGGGGTTCGTGAGACCGATGCTTCATGTGCATCACTCCGATGCTCTTGTCGCATCATTTTGGACACTCGGTCGATAACCCCTCATGGATTTGGGTTCGGGCCCCGGATTGGGCATCGAAAAGACCTGGGTCGACTTTAACGTTCCACGTGCGAGAGCAAAACATAGCAAAACCACCCCAACGCAAAGCTGTGCAGGACTTGGTGAAGTCGTTGCTGAACTGTGCGCGGGAGCCTCAGTCTCAAAAGGATGGACCCAGATGGGGTGAAGGAGAGGTGACAATTCGTGAGCCTCGACCCGTCCACAAACACGCACACGACGACGTTTTGCAACTGCTTCGCCTCGAATTGGCTCGCTCGCACGCCCAAACGACGGCGGAGACGAAAGCTGGGTTCGCCCAGGAGCAGCTTGCAGGCCTGTGCAGAGGAGCTGAGTTGACCGCAGCGAAGCCACGCTGCTTCGCTCGGGGGTTCGTTCTTTGGGGCAGAACGGGCTCCCCAAAAAGGCGTGCCGGGATGTCTCCTTTCAGGAGCCTGGAGCGCCTGCGGCAGCTGTGGCAGCTTCCGATGACTTCGATGACTTTCTGTCGCTTAGGCTGCAGAGTTGGTGGCAGGTCAGAACCAAACAACACGCAGCTTCCGAAACAGCACCGAGTTCAGGGTTGTCCAGCTGGAACTGTTTTGGACCACCATGGACCAACCAGTTGTCCTTCCACCCAAAACCGGGGCCTGCGGTGCCGGTCGGTGCCTCACTCGACTCCTTTGGTCCCTGCCGGGGTCCAGGCAAGAAGTGCCGCAGCCCGCCGCGTCCGCGGCCGGTCCCGCGACCGGTCCGGAGACCACGCGAGCAGAGCCGGACATCTTCGCGGATGAAGAGGTCTTCAAAGGCAGATCGATTGAGTGGGAGGCCATCGCTATATAGCTTGGAGGCCATCGCTAGTAGGTTGGAGGCCATCGCCACTGAGAAACAAATGAAAGATGAAAGGTCTAAGAGAACTCGAATAGCTCGAGCGAAAGGGGAGGTTCGAGACGTGGGATTTCTGGTCAAAAAAGGACCACGTGGGATGAAGGCTTCGCGGTCCCGAAACACCGCCCTGCGCGCGCTGACCAAGCCTGACCAGGCCCGGAGGAGGGATCGGCGCCCCCGGCGGATCCCTTTGGAGCCGACTTTGATGGCACCTGGGCAGAAACAGAAGAGGGTGGAAACCCAGGCAGAACGAGGATGTAGCTGCATAGCTCCTGAGGTGGTCGATGTTCAACACTTCTCGTGCGGTCCGCGCCAGCCGGGTTCGGGTATTGATCGTGGGGTGAAATGGGTTGCATTCATCCCAGACTTCCAATGACTCATTTTACTCCACCTATAGTAGTCAGAATCCACCACTACTATGGGGTAAAATGAGTCATTTGGACTGTCAGGGGCATGTTCGTCGATTGACCTGACAGGATGCTGCCAAAGAGCGCTCGGCACGTGAGGTGACGGCCTTCGGATCACCCTTCCGAAAGGGTGGATCCGCCGTCCGACTTCGCACTCCGCACCAACGCCGTTTTTTTTTGGTTTCGCTTCATGCACAACTCATGTTAGAAGACTCAAAGCTCAGCTCAGCTGCGAGTTTCTGCGATATGAAACACATCCCACCCTCAAACGAACGAGAGGAACCTGGATCTATCGGGCGGATCAATCAGCTGGCAATGTCGATTTAAAGACCTGATAGATGCAACTATGGAACCTATGACCTAACATGACCTAACATGACAGGACCTGGCAATGTCTAAGCACATGACCTAACTATGGAAATCTGCGCGTTTTGGACATCTATCGCTCCTGCACGGTTTCCTTCAGGCGTCTGAAGCGTGCAACCGAAGAATCGCCATTGGCGCTTGGGTGATCCATGTCACAATCCGACCGGTAGCTGTGGGGCCGTCGTTTTGGGGGGAACAAGAAACAACGCATCGCTTGGTCACTTGGTGTTGGTTCCAGGCTGATCATCCAGCAGACCAAAAAGAGGTTTGTAGTTCGCGACGCCAGCTGATTGGTGCTGGGGTCCATAGCTTTAAAGCTCCTTTGCGCGGAAAAAGGACGGCCATTCAACTCAGCTCTGTCGTTTCTGTCGTTCAAGACCAGACCTGGACTGGTGAACTTCGAGTGGCGTGAGCTGGAGATCGGTTGGATGGCTGGATTCTGTACGGCTTTCTCCGCAGCTTTTGTGGACAAAGTTTGGCAACCGATGATAGGTACTGGCAACAGATCGACAGTGGCAAACTCTGTATATATAGTTATTATCAGAGCAAATTGGTATACTTGAAGTATTTTTGACGAAGTGAGGAGACACCTTATTGACTTCTGCTAATTAAAGTGTCAGTCTTGCATGTTTGCCATATACATGAGGAGTTTGCCATAAACCTACCTAGTTAGCCCTCAAAATAGAAGTCTTCACTTTGCACCCACATGTTTAGTAGCTGATGCAATGGCGAAAGGGCCGGCCACTGGTCTTTGCAGTTTTCCGGAGATTGAACTGAGTGACGATTGGGGACACACCCCACTGAACTCTTTGAAAGTGGAGATCACACCAAAACTCCTCTCCATCAACTCCATCAACTCAAAAATTCCCCAAATCCCAGGTCCTCGGAAGAACCGATTTTTGAATCAAAAGACGCCTTCCTTCCGTCGTTCCGCGGAGCTCACCGAGGCCAAGCGCCCCGCGAGCCATGCGCCGTCGGTGGCCAAGCGCCCCGCCACTGCGAGCGTGCGCCTGGGGCGACCGGCGGCCAGCGGGACCGCCCACGCGGCATTGACTTCGAAGGTGGAGACCTCAGTGGTGAAAGCGACTCTTAAGAAGACTCCGAAGACATTTGAAAGCCAAGACAGACTCCGATAAACAATGAGTTTGATATACACAAGAACCAACAAACTTTGCAGGTTTCTTGGATCGTTATTTTTGTTTGGATGCCAAAGATTCCAAGACGCGAGACACGTGGTTGATGACAGTGAATGTTGGATGTCCTCACTTCTCACACTTCGTGACACTTCGTCGATCTCAGCCATGTTGGAACGCTCAGTACGTCTTGGTCTCCTCCTACACCTTGAAGCTGGGGCATGTGATGTCCCCCAGTGTGGAGCAGGCCAAGGCGGGTGGTGTTCGAAGCTTGTTTTTGATGACTCAGAGGAGTTACGCTCCAAAGTCGTGTTTCCCAGGCATGCAGTTCCCAGTTTGGATCTCCGACCTTTCTTTTGGAGTGTCGAGCGTGCTCAGCAACACATTTTGATCATTGACGACCAGTGAAACCGATTTTGACCATTTTTGCCCAGTGAAAGCGATTTGGACGAAAACATTTTAATTCAGATGAGTCACACATGTTCCTGTCCCGAGCACACTCCGCCGTGGGACCGGACCACCTAGCATCCGCCTGTGAGGGAATCTCCGTCTACCGGAGAGAGATCAGGTGCGGGTCGGAACAGCTGTGAGTTCGGGTGGAGGGTCACGTGTTAGTGTGAGTTCGGGTGAGTGGTGCAGAAGTGAAGGATGTTCAGTTTCACAAGCCACAGGCGGACCCTGGACCCGTCACGCCGAGAAGGCTGCCAAGTGTGATCCCTATCAGACACACCCTGCTGGTCAGGTCGTGGATCCAGACTTTAAACTGGGCAGTTTTTGGGGGTGTGCTTCCGCTGGCACTAATTACAGATGAAAGGCATCCACATGTCCAACTGCAACAGTTTCACTATCATTGACGACAATGTTGGGAGCATTTGCTCATGGTCTTGGTGGTTTTTGGAGCAAGGAGGATGGCCCGTCTCGTTTTCAGAGTCTCGTGTCAGTTCACACGAGAAGAGGATCGTTACGATGAAGAAGAACGAACTTCCCGATCTTCGTACGTTCAGATGAAGAAGACGAGTTCGTGGCGATCCGAAGGCCAGGAAGTTCATTCAGAAACGAAATCGTCATGCAGCAGTCACAAAGGGGTGCGATCCATGAAGGTTAGGAGTGCCCAGAACATCCACTCACTTAGGGACTAAACACCACCCCCGTGTGACTCGTTCCACATGTCTCACCCTTCCTTCGCTTCCTTCGTTCGCTCGGTCGGCCGCCGTGCGGTGTGCGACACCGCGGTGACCATTTTCAGGGAGGATGGCAGCTTCGGGGAGCTGACCTTCCATTGGAGCCACTTGGAGAAGGGAGCGGCAAAAGGGGTGTCGACTTCTCAAGAAACATGGAAGTGGTGCAAGGATGGAACATGGGTCATGTTTCCATTTTAAAGGCCTCGAGCTGACTCTAATGTCTTTAGAATTGATCTTTAGACTCTTCTTCGATCCATCGAGACGACCATGTGGAGACTGTGAACCGAAGTCGTGTGACCCCTAGAAGTCCGCACAGATGTTTTTGTCATTGGACGTGTTGACAGCTGTCTTTCGGCCACGCTTCGTTTGGTAGGGGAGGCACCGGAGGGACCAGACAAACACCACATCGAGGACCATTCGACCATCTGGGTCTTTCTGGAGTACCAAGCCCAACACTATCCGGGATCGCACACACCAGGACACCCAGATGGTCGGATGGTCCTGATATCTTCTGGACTGCATCCGACACGACAAGAAAGGATGATGTGACCCTCCCCCTCGTCTTTCGGCCACGCCCAGGCTGCTCTGACTTCCCTTGCCCAACCTACATGCTGCTGGGACTGCAGTGACTGGACAGTTGGTCCATGAACCACCCATGACGTTGGCTGATGAAAGCACGCAGAGAGACCAAAACATGAGGAGTGGAACAAAAACCATCGAAATGTGGAACGTTGAACCATTTCCTTTGCGAAATGAGTGGGATGAGCACTGAAAACAAGCTGGTTTGAACCATTTCCTTTCCCAAATCCTCCAACCGACCTGTCAGGTGCTGCAACGCCGCACGCACTCGGGTCTATGCCGTCTCGGAGGCGTTGATGCGTGCCCTGTGGGCTGAGCAGATGACTGAGTCATGTGGATTGGTTACGGATGTTACGGGTTTCATGTGTGACATGTATCTTTTCAATCAAGTACGTGTTTGTTTTCTGTGGAAGTTCGGTGTTGCAGAGTGGAATTTCCTTTACGGCGGACTCCAATTCCTTGGCCAACAACCATCCCAAAAGCACCCGGTGGTCCAACGTCGCCGTGATTCCTTTCCTTTGTGGCTCCAAACAAAAAACCATAGGCGGCCCACCCATGCGGACGAACGAGGAGAGGAGCACCTCCTCGTCGTCTGCGGTGGTGGACCCAAAACACCGCTCCCAATGAGGTTCGCTCAGCTTTGCCTCGGACTGGTGGCCCTTCGGTCTGAAGGTTTGCTGGTGGGAGGTCCACCGAGGGCGGAGATCGCCCGTGGTAGCTGGGTGCTTTTACATGGCTTAAGCCATTCAGTGGAACTCAATGGTCAAGAGGCCATCGTGGAGGGCATGGATGCTGACCGCTACGTGGTGCGGCTCGTAGACTCGCATCTCTACAAGAAGGTGAGGCCGGAGCACCTGGAACCTGACCGGACGAGAAGGAGCCGCCCATCTCCAGCTGTCCCATCTCCATGTGGAGAACATGAATTCGACCAGCCCCAGGAGCTGCCCCAGGGGCCTAAAGAGCTAGCGCCCGGCGCTGAAGTGTGGGTTCACGGCCTGACCACAGCAGCCTCCATGAACGACCGTAAGGTCCTGGTGCGTTGCTTCAACCCGCAGACCGAGCGCTATGTGGTGCAACTCGTTGACGACGACCTGGGCGGAGTCGCCACTGGTCCCCTGCGAGCCATCAAAGCGGAGCATCTGAGTTTGGCTGAAAGCGAAAGTGATGACGGTCCTTCGGCCAGTGTGGAAGCTGTGGCTGATGACTCACGGGGCCAAGTCCTTCGGCCGGGTTCCCATGGCAAGTTGGTGAACTTGCGGAACGTGGCCATGAACGGCAAGGTCGTGCGGATCTTGGGCTATAAAGAGGCCGGCCAATGCTATAGTAGGATGGAGGCCATCGCTAGTCGGTTGGAGGCCATCGATTCTAGGTTGGAGGCCATCGCTAGTAGGTTGGAGGCCATCGCTCTTAGATTCCTGAAAGTCTTTGTTCCTAGTAGTGTCCTCTACCTCCCCCACGTGCGCCTAGTAGCTTCTTGTTCCTAGCAGTAAGGCCAGGAGCCCCGTTCGTAGCGTCCGATCGCTCCGTTCGTCGCGATGCCCGTTGCTGCTCCGTTCGTAGCGTCGCTCTCAGGCCAAGCATCACTACGTGGTGAAGTTGCCCAATGGCGCTCTTCGTCGGGTCGATGCGTCCAAAGTTGAGAGAGCGGAGGACGATGCGTCCATTCCTCTGCCTCGTATGTCGGTGTGCAATGCCTTTGGACGAAGGCTGAAGGTTCTTCTGGAGAACTCCAAAGCCATCAGCTTGGATTTTCCCAGTTGCCACGATTTCGAAGAAGTCTCCTCCTCCAGCGTCACTTTCATGCTGGGCTCTAAAGAGCTTGCACGAGCCGACCTGGGTGAATTGTCACAGTCCGGCATCGAACTCACTGTGGCCCCGTCCGATGATCCAGACAAGGCACGCGTGCATCAGAAGCTTGGTCTTGCAGCGGGTGAATGATTTCTTCAGTTCCTTGTTGGTGGCTGATTGTTGGTAGCGCTCCACAGAGTAGCTAGCGATCCGTTGGATTTTATGATGGATTCCCATTCAGTGCATCGGGATTCCTCCCCCTTTTTGAGTATGCTAAAAACCGATGCTAACATAATACCTGGACCTTCTTTCGGGGTGTCCCGTCTGGAGGTCCCTTAGTAGTGTAGGGGCTTTTAGTTAGGTGGTTCTGACATGAAGGTGCTGGTATCTTTTTCTGCAACCACTCGGTTTCTTCCAAGGAACCGTGTCGAAGTCACCGACCACTCAGCCTATTTCTTGCACTTGATCGATGCCCGCCGCTTCCCCGATCGACGTAGCACGTTGTCGGTTCAACGTGGGCCGATGGTGAAGGTCTTGCCGATGGACAAGAGCTATCGACTAGAACGAGTGGAAGACATGAGCTTGACCTTAGTGGATGGCTCAAAACAATTGAAGCTAGCCTTTACTCCGGAAAAATCCAAGACCTATGTGGCCATTGTAACGAGTGGCACTCGGGAGGATGTGCGGAAAGATGGCTTGGTGTTGCATAAGTTGGGCGCCTGGACTTCGGCTGAGCAGCTTGCTGATGAGGCATAATGATTTCGGGTGAAGCCCCGTGAGAGAAAGTCACGTTTTCATGTTCGTTCCAGAATGCTGAAACTGTTGATTGAACTAAGCAACTGGGGACCACCCCTGGTAGAGAGACCTGCTTCGCAGGGTGAGTCAGACGTCGCGACCGCGGGCGCAAAGAAGCCGCCCGAAGCAGCTTGCTGTGCTCGACAGAGCAGCAGCGAAGTAAAGAGCAAAGGATTTCTGATACTATAAGTACACTTGGAAGTGGAAACGGCCGGACTCCCAAAGTACCTTTCTGCCTTTCTTCCTTTGTCTTTGTTTCTATACTGGCAATGGTCTCAAACCTACTTGCCATGGCCTCCAAGCTAATAGCAAACTATATTTTGAGATATTTTGAGAACATGGAAGTGGAACAGGCCGGAATTCCAACGCATTTTCCACTTCCAAAGAACATGTCTTGAGTCTTTTGTTTGTTTTTTTAGCAGCATAAGATGGTGGCAAATGAGGACACCAACATTGCAAAGACGAAGCAACACTTCTGAGCATATGGCATGTATGTTATGCATCTATCTCATATACTTGCCCTTTTTGACATTACAGTCTTTGGTCTCGTGGACGTAACGGACTACCAGGTGACCCGACCTCTCCCCCCCCTTCGTCGCCGTTCGTCTCGTCCGACCAAAACGACGTTCCCGGCTTCGCGCCGGCAGGTGCTGGAAGAGAGCACGGTGTCTGCCTATGCCTTCGATGCCACTGGGACCCTTCGGCCCACCGGCACGACCCTTCGGCCCAGCGGGACGGGACACCGGACGGCCGGAAGGCAAAAAGGAGTGGAGGCCGGTGTAGCAGTGGGGCCAGTGGGTCGGGCGTCGGACGTCTCGTTTGCGCAGGTTCCAACAGTTCCCTGAACAGTTCCCTCGGTCGCATCAGATGATTTTTGGCGGTTGGCCTTGGCTTTCACTCGAATGGACCCCGGTGTCGTCGCGTCGTCGGTGGTTCGTGGCGTGGCGTTCGGGGCGCCGCACCAACCCGCCGAGGCCAAGAAGGGAGAGCTCAAACTGCTGAACAGCGTTGCCACTGGTGGCAGCATCGCGTGCCACGTCTCCCTTACCAGAGGCTCGTTGTATGTCTAAGACCTGGCTGGGCCGAGCTGTAGGAGTAAAAAAATGGAAAGTTTGTTATTAAACGAAAAGAAGAACCCAGAAGCAATGGCCTTCAACCTAATAGCAACGGCCTCCAACCTACTAGCGAAGGAGTGGAAGCAGCTCGTGGTTTTGGTTGCGAGTTGGAGTTGGGATGAACATCATTTGGGGGCCCATTCTTTGTTGAGTCTTTCAAACAGATGTCGCATCGGCTCTTTCTTCCGGTGGCGGAAAAGGGGACATGTTGACCATGCTGACCGTGTTGGTTGTTCAGTAGGACATCCTTTTTCTCAAGTTGCAAATGATTGGAGATCCTATGACATGCTCCGATTCTTGGAGAGCTCTAGGGTCCATTCAGCAACCGAAAAGCAAAACACACACCAATCACAGCAAATCACCATGGCCATAACCGTTATGGCCGCGCTGAGTGATCACCTGAAACGACCACCCTGAGCAGGGAGAGCTTCACCTCAAAACCGCCTTGTCCGAGGAAATGAGCGCATGCTGGCAGTGGCCAACTATGGCGGCTCTGCAGCTTGCCCCAGCAAGTTAAAAACACTTCATTCGGAGCACCCAAAGAAGGGACCTCTAGCATGGTCGGCATGGTGTACCTGCTTTCTCAGCCAATGTGAATCACTTGGAGCCTCACATGACGGCCTTTCTAAGCCAATGCGTGCGTCCGCTCGCACCAAGAAGGGTCCGTCAGCTCTACATAGGGGGTGGCAATGTAGTTGTCAATCGGATGAACTTTAAGTCAGAGTCTGTGCTGATGGCATGGTTTGCTTAGTCAATATCCTCCAGCAAATCTTGTTCCAAAGCATTGGTTCACGTTCGTAGGTCAGGTGCAGTTCCACGTGTGCTCCAGATGTTTTCCCATTGAGAGAGGTCGTTGCTGGAATTGCTGAAGGCCAAGGGGTGTCCATCTACCAATTTAGGCATCCCACACGTACACTTATAGAGGACCGTTAATTTGTCATATCACAGCGCGCTTGATTGGAACTCCAACAAAAAGCACAGGTGCAAGACATGCTGCGTCATTCAATTCTTGCATCATTAACTATAAGTTTAACAACTTACAACCGTCAACCGTAAGCATATCTTGAGTTCCTTGTGTGTGGTGTTTTCGGATATCTCAATGCCTGCACATGCAGTAAAGCAAAAAACCATCCGAAACACTGCATGTCTGCCATCTTTGCCCATTGGGGTGCTCTCTTTGGGTCGATCGGCATATCTTCCAGTCCCAGACAGGTTGTGTGGGGTTGCCGAAACCCTCCGTCGCACGTGCGACGTCTCCGCCTGAAAGCGGGCGACGGTGAGGTGGCCCTCTTTCAGCTCACCGTTGAGGGGCGAATCTCGACGTGCCTCCAGGTGCAGGTGTCCGACCTTTGGTCAAAGACGAGCTGGGAGGTTGGAGGTGTCTTCTTGGGGTTGTGAGCCCCAAAATACATGTCGCAGACCCCCCAAATAGCCACAATAGTGCTTGTACTGGCATTTACTTGCTCCCAAAGCTTCGGGATTTTTGGTGGAAAGAGTTGACATTGGCCATGCATCACATTTGTGAATCATCCGATTGAATCCAAGACGAAAGCTCTTTGGAGGAGAGCAAGTGTCCAACCCGCCCCTTTGGTTCGCCCAGCTGCACTGGCCCTTACTCGCATCGCCGACTCGCCACTGAGGAGAGCTTGGGAGTGGGCGTGAACAAAGAAAGACAAGAGGGTCCTCATCCGCACATGGTGCACTTCGATGGGCCCAATCAGCACCTCCTCGCAGCTAAGCTGCGAGTTGGTGGGCGGGCTTCACGCGACGTGGTGTTCTATTTGCGGAGAAGGGTGAAGGAGTTGAAGAGACAAAGCAGATAGAACATGATAGAACCGTGATTAAAGTTTAAAGCATGAAACGATTCGGAGAGCTCAAAGACTTGAAAGCAGGTTTGGCTGATCACCAGAATGCAGACACATAACTTAACCACTTCCATTTTCCCGGAAAAGGGAGCTATAGACATGTTCTTCCCTCTCTTTCACTTTCGCGGTCGCGCGATCCAGGTACCAGATCTTGGACTGGATCGAGTGATGGTCTACAAGCTGGACCACGACTCCATGTCACCCGCAGAACACGTGGAACTGGACGTTGAGCAGGGATGGACGGTGTTTGTTTAGACACGGAACGAAAGAGATGGCTTGGTGCTTCGTGGATGTTTCTCCGGTATTTGTCCAAGGGCTTGACATTGGACACGGTGTTCTTTCGCTCATTTCAGGGAATCGTTGAACATCACAAGAGCTTCGCACTTGAAACCGGAAATCCAGCACATCTTGATGCAACTCCATGAATGAACAAAAGAAGTCTATAGATGCCTCTATTCATGGCCTTCCGTTTTAACTGTTCTTCCGTTTTTCCAGGTCAAACAGTGATATGGACAGCACCAAGTGCTGAGCACGCAGTTGTCGTGTTGCTTGAGCGTAGAGCCCCCGTGCGGAGGGACTTGGTGAAGCATCTGCCCTTGGCGCCGGGATCCGGGCCTCGGCATTTGGCGTTTCACCCGGAACTCAACGTGGTCTACGTGCTGAATGAGCTGCTCTCCACAGTGACGTGCACGAAGTTCAGTCAATTCACTTTGGGTGGTGGAGAGGAAGAGTTGCAATAAGTAGCGCTTGGTGCGTGGGGTATAGGCTAGGTGTGACTTCCTTCTCACCCCAAGAAACCGACTCCTTCCCTCCCCTCCACGCCTCCACGCCTCACACGAAGAGGTCATGGCCTGTCACTACGACGCGGCTTCCGGTGAGCTGACGCCCACGGAAGCGAGGCCCACTGTGCCGGGCGCGCCGGTGGGTGTGCAGGGTCAGACCTTCCCTGCGGCCATCCGCATCTCAGGCGGTGCGGAACGAGCGGCGAACGCTGTGCGGTTGCGCGCGGTGCGCGCCGGGTCTATAGGTACGGTGACACCGGGACTGAGAGGTTCAGGGGCTGAGGGGCTGTGTTCGAGAAGGGGAAGGCCATGCAACTTAAGGTTCTTAAGGTATCTTTTACACCAGTTGGACCACTAGCTGATGAGCTACCTTCCATCACCTTCCTCAAAATCCTCCAAGAGCACCGGAAAAAAACCGCCATGGCTGGAGGGTCGTTGTCGGGCTGGTGAGAAACCCAGTGGCTAGGTGTTCTTGTGCCAACAACACATAACTACGCCACATATATCTATTGCTCGAGCTTTGGACGAAGCAATCGCAGCAGTACTGGCTGTGCCACGGCTGTGGCACGTGGCCGTGCTGCGATGACCGCGAGTGAGAGGGAGTGAGAGGGAGTCCATCGACGCCACACTGGCAGGTGATGGCAAGTTTCTCTATGCCTCCAACCGAGGGCACGACTCCATTTCCGATCCTTGGCAGCGACCGAAGAATTTAAGGAACGACGCTTGGAACTTGGACATGGGTCTTCTCGGTGCCGGCCCTGATGAGCTTGGACAATGATCAGCTTGGTAAATAGATCTTCACAGGTGATCTTTCTGTGTATAGAGAGTGAGAAGCATATCCATGATAACGCTTCGCTGCTCATGTCGGAACGAACCCGCCAACCATGCCACCGGCTGAGCTGCGCGCTCCGCAGCTCACGAGGTGTTTGCGCTGACGGAGGAGGGGTTGATCGCCGAAGGCAGCCCGCAGCACTTCTCCACCGCCGTCCGCGAAGTGGTGAACCCTGTGGCGAGTTGGCCACCCAGGGAGTGCCCTCGCGATTTCGCGCCGCGGCTGAGACGGATGCGGGAGGGGAGAAAAAAGAGGCGGTACTATCAGCATATTGACACCAGGCCCTTTCGGCGGATGTTCGGAAAAGGGGATGGGAGTTTTTTTAAGAGACATCCAGGATGGATTCTGGGGTGCTTGTTGCTTCTGTCATATTGACATCCAGGATATGACAGAAGCACCAAGCACCCCAACTTCCTCGGATGGCACCGTGCGGAACTGCTGGTCGGCCCTGGTCGGCTTGGGCGCGGTTCTGCTCACGGAGCACGGACTTTGCGGGGCTTCGTGGCGAACCGCAAAACCAGAGCTATGTTGTTCATCACGTGGTTCATCAGCATAGAGCTCGGGAAATGTCATGTTCGTCTCAAAGAACATGTGTTTATTCGCATGTTGGTGGGGGAAATGCTGGTCCAGTCTGTTTGCGTTCCTTTCAACATTGACCCCAGCTGTAAAAGTAACCCCTAACTTCACACACTTTGAAGTGCTAACGGATGCTAATGGTGCTTTTCAGCTATATACATCCTCAACACACCATAGAAAACCGGTAACACCATACCCTCAAACTTCACCCACCCACCCATTAGAACCCACCCATGTGTGTATGAACTATACCCTCAAGGGCAGCTTTCCTTCAGTCCTGGGAGTCAGTCTACGCAACTGCTGCGGGCGCCCACCAGGCTCTTTGTGCCGAGGATCGCTACCTCATCGCTGCCAACCAGGCGGAAGGGCGGGTCGGTCCTGCTTCCGTGTTCTGGTGTTCACCTGCCACTTTGTAAAAAGAACGTAAAACAGCCCGAAATCGTTCACCTGCCAGCACTTTCACCAATCTAAAACCAGCCGAAGGATGTTCGGAGGAGCCACACACACACACATACGTAGAGTTCCTCCGGAACGAAAGGAGAGAACGGACGAGGACGGCGGCGAACGCTTCTTCTCTCCCGGGATCGACCGCCCGGATCGACGTCACCGGATTCCCCCCGGATCCAGCGCGCACAACTCTCTGCGCGGAACGGTGAACACGTGGTGAAGCGGCGCCTGGGACCTCACCGACCGAGTGGGGAGAGAAAAAGCCCCAGTGTATAGTGTGGGGGGCTGGAAGAGCCAACGATGACCCCTAACAGGAAGGTGCTGGAGCATGCTGATATGTATTGGATGAGTGTTTCATGGCCCCGGATTCTTAGAGGGCCACCAAGAAGGGGCGTGGCTCCCTCTAGCGGATCATCTCGTGGTCATCGACTTCTCAGTCGCGCACGTGCAACGGATTGGTTTGAACCGAACATGGCCAGCAGATGGCTACGGTCCCCACATGTCCCCACTCGTTTTTGAGATGCAAAACACATGCAACGGAAGAAAGTAACAATTTATAAGACAAGAAACCATGTGTTGAAAGGAATGGGCCGCACGTCTTCTCTCTACCCGATCTCGATCTCGGTCATTTCCGGCCCAGCTCAACACGAACAGCGCTTCTGCTTGGCAGGACAGTGACAGCCTGGTGGTCTTCGAGCGCCACCCGGAGTCGGGAGCCCTCATCCGCACAGGCCAGACTGATCGCAGTACTGCTCCAGTAAGCCGCTCTGCCCCTCCAAAGTACTAGCGGCCTCAGTCGCGTGAGTTGACATGATCAAACAGAGTGAATCCAGTGAATAAGTGTGTAAAAGGTTGAGCATGTTGAAACATGTTGAATATCTCTGAAGACAGTTGCGAGCTAAGATTAGAGGCTTATTCTTTGTGAGTTGAGGTGAGTCTAACTATATACTGGCATCTACTCTATTCTCAAGATGCCAATACTTGGTTTTGACGGTCTATGCGAACGCACGGGCCCACGCACGTCGAACATATGCACGACATGCATCAAAACGTGGGTTGTGAAGTGCCCAACGACCAGCCCCAAACATTCGCGGACGGCTCGAGCCCGTCTTGCCCAACGACCACAGACGGTCTGAGCCGTCGTCGTTGGCGAGGCATCTCAGTGAAGTGCGCTGCGCCTGCTTGCGTTTTACCCCTCTTTTGCACTTCGGCTGAAGGATTCTTCAGGCTTCTGGAGCCCAAGGACCTTGACATTACAGAGTGGTTGGTGGTCCAAAATAGAGCTCACTCAGGTTCTAGGTAATGTACAAGCATATATACTACTGTATCATGGCGCGAAGAGATCCCTAAGACCTTGACTTTCACACAACCAGCGAGGAGCTGCCGCACCTGTATAGAACCCAAAAAAACGACGCCATGGTCGATCTGCTTCGTACACTGCAACCCGAAAAGCCCAAAGGGCCACCCTTTTGGACCGATGCGATTCCACTCTTGCAGACGAGCCAGTGCCACTCGTGCCGTTCTAGACGAGCCACTCGTTGATTCCAGATCTCGTGCGGGTGCTGAGGATTGGAAGCGAGGAGGAGTGGACAATGACCATAGCATACCATAGCATCTTAGGAAAAAGATGCCTGTGCTTCTGGGCGATGAGGGTGGCAGATGCATGCAGATGCCACCACATCCTGTGGAGCGATGAGGCTTGATGTGAAGAAGACCAAACTCTGTCGGTTGAAAGTGGTCGACGCAAATACGCAAAGACATGTCATCAGTCGTGATTCTTGGATGAACTTTGAACATTCCTTGAACAGGAGCAATTGCCGGTAAGAGGCCAGACAGTCCTTGGTGAGGCCACCCTTTTGATGAACTGCCTCTCCAAACCCTAGCTGCCACAGCCACCATAGCTCTGTTCCAGAGGGGTTTTGTGATGTTTCCTGGCTCCAGCTGCGTTTGATCAAGAATCGGAAAACAATTGGAAACAACAGAGATCTTCAGCCGAAGGGAGAAGCCTCGAGCAGAAACAGACGTATGTCAGTCCTAGATTTTGTCACTAACAATCTTGCCGCAAGCGTCCAGAGACTTGACAGATACAGATGAGCTCTTCTCCCCAACATGCGTTTCTTGACGCGCTTGCGTCAAGTCGCCCGACCAAGTCAATCACCCGACATCAAGTGCCGCCCAACTCGTCGGTGAATTACCACGTCGTCGGTGAATGCGTCGAGACTTGACCTGTAGACCAAGCAGAGAAAGCATAGCGCATACCATACAGCGAAAGCTATGCAACGCATTAAACAGAAATGGATCATCACGAAGATAAGAGAACACTTAATAGTATAAGAAGATACAGCCACAGCTTCTTTGAGTGCCACAGCCGCCCAACAGATCCCGACAGAGGCACTCGTCCCGGGTTTCGAGTCGAATCAGAAAAAGGAGGAGAGGAAATTGGATGGACATCCTCGTGAATTCCCTTCAGATTGGAGGTCTACCAGGCGGTGTACCACGAAATGGGTCCCCCTAACCTCATTCTTTTCACCGTTGTTCCATGGTTGAAGTCTAAAGGACCGAAAAACACCGATGAAGCAAAGAGAAAAACCAACTGGTGGTCATTCACTGTTGCCTTTATACATCTTCTTCCTATAGTAGTAAGGCCCTTGCTCCGTTCGTAGCGTGGCCAGGAACCGCCCCGTTCGTAGCGTCCTTTCTCCTAGTAGCCATGCCCTTGCTCCTATCTGGTTCGATTTTACGCGTTCAATGCAGTCGATGCCGCGACCCGACCGGGTTCCGGCGCGCCAGGGATGCTGAGTTGAGGTGGGCTTTCGGGGAACGGCCTGTGTTTCCTCGGGGCTCCACGGTTCGGTGGAACTGGGGGGGGTGACTGGCTCTGGATGGAGAGAGAGAGAGAGAGAGTATGTATAGCTAGAATCAGCTATATGTACCTTCTATGTACGAAGCTACGAGTCACACTTCATCTCCTTTCCTCTTGGTTCCTCTTGTTCCTCTTGTGAAGCCCAAAGACACCTGGATATTTAACGGTAACAAACCATTCGTAGCGACCGTTCCCTTGACGCGTCAGGCGGGACGGGCGCACCCTCCATGGAGAGCGAAAAGGACGGCGATGGGTCGACGAGACCGTTGCGCGGTCCTTCGTGCGCGCCATCCGAAGGCTCTAAGGATGTACAGAGGCTTAAGGAGATGAGGATCATTGATCTGTGTGAGGGAGTTGGTGTTCTTTTGTTGGCAGTGTCCAAAAAATGGGTGCCTCGGTTCAAAGCTCTGCTAGATGTTGGATCAAGTGGTGCATGTCACCCCAAAGGACCAGTGACTAGAGGTGTCCAACTTCTCCTTCATCACCGAAGCGACTTCCTGAGCAGGTGAATGCGTCGGTGGTAGATACAGTATGAGGCATTGATATATCCAGAGCAAGCTTTTTTTGTATCATTTTTTACATATAGCATGGGCGACTTGGCAAGTGCAAACTGGACATGGGCAAAGTTGGGCGACTTGTCCAGTCTTTTGCAGAGACTTCCGATCTGCGCAGGGCAGCTCGCAGCTGTATATGGTGGTTGTTATCAGGTATCGTGTGCTTGACATCAGCACGACCAGAACGACGGTCTTCACGAGAAATGGCTCCAAGGTCTCGCCACAAGCAAATCTTGGCGGCTCACGCTGGTTTTAGGAGGCTACTATTGTGTTGTATAAGACCCAGACGCTCCATGGGACTGCCATTTATATGCCGATCAGTTGGGGTGGTGGTTTGGGGGTTCAAATGCAGGCATATATTCCACACATGGAGTGTATGGGATAGGCACTTAGAACATCTTGGAACTGGTTTCTTGGTGGTGAGTGTTCCGTCGAAGGTGCTTGGCAAAGCTGATCCTTCTGAAGCCTTCTCGTGGTTTTTGTCGTTTTCATCGTGGCTGTTCATTTTCCTTGTCATGGTTAGGCCTTCCCACCCCCCTGCCATGGTAGGGTGCCCTACCTTGTATTGATGAACCTAGTGAAAGGTGCCAAAAGTTATTTCATAGAATCATCCGTGCCAGCGGCAAGACAGGGCAAGTCCACTAGATTCCACATTGAAAAAAAGATCAGCCTTTGGCTCCCTAGTCATACATTCTACAGCAGAATCCCGGATCAATTCGTATTTTCTGGGTTCTCCAGGACAAGTACGACTACTTGTTCAAGTTCATCATCATCGGCACCTCGGCCGAATGGACGGACACGGTCGTACCGTCATCGACCCGGAACCGGAACCGGTCCGGTAGACCAGGTGATGCCGGTGCGGGCAAGCGGACGCCTCAGAGCGAGCACTTCGCGCATGTCATGCATGTCATGTTCATGTAACTTCTCGCACTTTAGCTACACGAGTGCATGCGATTTTTATAGAAAATAGCAACTTCAACAAAGGCTCCAAGGTCGAAAACATGTCAACACGCATCAAACATCACATGCCCAAACATCACATCAATGCTTCAAGTTTGGTCTCGAAACCCTTCAGGTCCTGCCTGCTTCATCAGTTCATTGACAATAAGTGTTCGGGCGCCCCGGGGTGTTCTCCAGTCATCTCCAATCACTCCTCGCTGTTCTGACGCGGCCAGTCGTGCCGTGGCCGTTTCTGTTTGGGACAACGGTCACTGGTCACCGAGCGCTGGGAGTCACGGCCACGAGGAACTGGTGATGGCGAGAGAAGGGCGACGCCGAAAGAGTTCCACGTTGGGAAGGGGACCGGAAGAGACCCACCACTTTTCAGATCTGAAAAGTATACACATCCATAGCACTATGTGAAACTATACTGACTTGGTGAAACTAGACTTCCAACAGGAAAGGCCACAGAAACATGGCTTTCACCAAGACAGGTGAGACACATCTATGTCAAGACATGTTACCCAAACATGATCTCCTTTTTTGATAGGAAAAGGACCGTATTTTGGAGACTTGATCCTCCAAAACCGTGGTCACTCCTCAGGTTCGAATTATGAATTGCTTTGACATCTATTATTAAAATATACCATATATAACCATATATAACCTATAGTTGGACCTAATTAAACACATAGAACCTAATTCCACACGCATGTGGCTCGCTCCGTGGCGGTCCAACGACCCGGCGTTCTTCCCGCCTTCCGTCTCGTTGGACGGTTGCCGAGTTAAGAAGGGCTCCTCTCACACGATCGGTGTGGAGCCAGGGGAGCTCAGAGGGACACGCGGGGCCGCGTTCGGACATGGTTGGAGGTGTTCTTCACTTTAAAGAAATCCCTACGGCGATGATATAGATGGCCTTTTAGTAGTTGTTGCATAAACCAGTTATTTTAGTTGATGATCAGAGAGGGATGTACTTATTGAGTGCGCGATGAAGTATAGAGGCCTTGTGATTTCCCTGAAGGACATCGAAGCACAGTGCTGACAGGTGTATAGAGGTCAGTCCGAGTGAAGCTCGGAGGACGGAGCAGCACTGTGCAAACAAAGAGCTTCTTCTCTGAAGAACCAAAACATACCAAAACCATGGACCAAATTGAGATCCACAGCCATTCATTAGAGGAATCTGCAGCTATAGTTTAAGGTGGTGAACCACCGCCACCGTGCCACCCACCGCCATGACCATGTCCTCAGGTCCGGACCGGTCGCGAGTCGCGTCTTGGGCAGGTTTGGATCCAAGGTCATTACCGTTGGAGGCGTGAAGTGTCGTGTTCCGGGAGTTGGCTAACTTGGCTGGGAACTTGGGGAGGGGGGAGATGTCGAAGTTCCATGTTTTCACAAGCAATTGAACCTTCTTTCATCACGGTGTCATGAAACATGGTGTCATGTTGATTTTTGGGTGTCATGGCACCGTGAACGGCCGTCCAGCGCCAAGTCTCTTTCCCGCGACGTGGACGTCCGGCGCCAGGTCGGAACATCAAGTTGCAGATTTGGGACACGGCGGGTCAGGAACGGGACAGCATGGCAGGTCGGAGAATGGCAGGAGAATCAGCCTGGGGAAAACCCAGGGTCCAAAAGCAATGAGTTGGAAACCAATATGACAGAGATACTTTACAGACACCCAAACAATCCCAAACACTCATGCCATATATATGCCTATATCCATTGAGCCTCTAAACCACTCACCCCAACTGATCGGCAAGGCAAGACAGGCCCTTGAAGTGGCTGGGCCTGGGAATCGCCAAACAGCCCAGTTGGGGCGGAGTTCACCGTTGTGGACGGGGATTCATTTGCATCCGGAATTGGCCAAATCTTGTGGCCAAACAGAGTGAATCCCGTCGATATCTCAAATGCATGTTTGACGGTGTTTTTGTTCTTTCCCTTCATTACGCCAGTGTTCTTTCAACCATTTTATTGGCATCACGGCATCATGGAGAAACGGTATACGTACTCTCACCCTTCCCTCGTCCAGGAGCGCTACCGCTCGGTGACGCGCAGCTACTACCGTGGCGCTGGGGCCGCCGAGTCTTCGGTGTGTTGGGGGTTGAGGGAGTGACGCCGAGTCACTCGACCTTTGCCGGAGTGACGCGAGAAACGGTCGACGGTTTCCAGAAACGGACGGGTCGAGTGACGCGGATGTGGCACCGAGGCTGCGGGGGCTCTCATTGTTTACGACATCACCAATCGCCCGAACCGCTCAGTGGGGCCTGCGCGAAGTGCGGCGACACGACGCCCTGAAACGTGTGGGAGAAAGCTCACTTTATTTCACTTTGCCAAGACATGCTGTATATACGGTTGATGTT